TTTTTTTTGAGACGTGATATGAAACTTGAGAAGTTCGAAAGTGTAATGCACGAAGAGTGTTTTAAGGTTTTTTTGTGTAAATTTCAACAGTTTGCAGTGCTTTAGAATGAGTTCTGCAGCGAAGTGCACTGTTACCTGCTATGCATGGCTCATCGGTGGAAACAAATTGGTTGATTTTTTTTTTGAATTTAGGTTGCATCAACATCGCGCTTTCCTCAATACCCTAAGCCAGAGATGATGCAGCAGTATCCTCCTGTATGCCGGCAAAACATGTAAGCTTTAGTGTACGTTTTGCCTTCCTAAGGCTTTTTATTGGAGCAAGATTTTACTAAAAAAGATTTGATTAATTTCAGAACCTTTCCTTATCATTGCTTTTCTTTAGGCAACAAATGTACCCTCCCAACTACCCTCGTTCTCCATCTCGTATACCTCAGACTGATCACACTAGCCACTGGATGAATGGGCCATATACAGCAGGATACGCTAACTCACCTGTACGATCATTAAGTGTAGCTAGCTGTTATTCATTTTCTGCTACTATTCATTGCATAAGGTCTGTATTCTTTATTTACTAATATAACCTTCAGATTCCCTCTGCTGCACCTTCTGTGATGTCTCATATCAGTATGCAAGATGACCTCGTTTCTGTGATGAGCGTGCAAACAACGCTAAATGCTAGTACTGCACCCTGTCCTCAAGATCTTACTGAGCTGGCAAGTTATATCCGCGATTGAAATCTGTTTCACAAAAAATCTTATTGCCGTGATTTCCAGCGGCCGCAGTCGCAGTTTTCATCTTCTGCGTCTACGCCACCATGTACAGAAAATGTTGATCCCGCTATGATTCAAGAAGTTCGAAGAAATGTCGCATATTCTATAAATAACTTCTACAGCAATGATGTGGGGTTTCTCTTACCACTTCGCAGTTTTTTGAAAACTAAGCTCTTTCTTCAATAAAACACAGTTTTTCAGCAGTTCAAGATTATTCAGTGTATATGCCATTACGCACAACGTAATATGTTCCAATTTGTTGATATGACCAGCGTTCACAAGCTGCTGCTTCTGATAGCTCAATTGTTGAAAAATACAGCTGATCCTAACGTATGTTTTCAAGTTTTCATTTATTTAGTAAAAAAACAGCTATCTCACGTAACTGTAACCCCTCGTCGTTTGTTGCTTTCAGTTCCGACGTCAGAATTCTTTGCAAACCAGCAACTTGTTGCTCAATGCCATATTCTACTTGAGCAGAAATCCAACGACGTTAAGAGTTGTGATGCATGTGGCATCTGATAAGAACACTGCCGAATTCATCTACATCATCGCCCATTTTGCCAAGTAGGTGTAGTTTTCTTGCTTTGCTGATAATTACGGAAATGCAGACACTTTTTGAGATATAATACTCGATATTCCTGTTTCTTCTTTCTGCTCCTTATATCCTACATTACAGCTTTATATTTAGGGTGAATCTCAATTGGGCTGCTGCACTCACTCTTCATACGCTTTTTGATTATAGTGGTCCAGAAGGTGCTAAATGCATAGTTTACGCAAAGCAAATACAACCTGGAGCGGTGAGAGACTTAATCACATCTTGGTTGCATAACATGTGGATTTCTCTGTTGCTTCCTCTTTTTCTTGTTGCTCAATTTTGTCTTGGATCCTCACGAAATTCACAGGTATTGGATGCTTTGCTGCATATTCTGAAGGAAAAGCCGGATCGCAAGAGGACTCTTTTCGTTCTACATTCACTTCAGCTCCTTGCTCGAAAGGATAATAGTGCAAAGGTTTGTTTATTTATTCATAAATGCTATCCAGGATACGTTATTGGCTACATATTTTTTGAGCAATAAATCTGGAGTCTTCCCGTTGTATGTTAGTTATCAGATGTAAAGGGGCTTTGACTTGAAAATATAAGGAAAAAAACACTTTTGTACATTATCGGTGATCCCGTGTAAATACCTTTTGATTCTTGACTTCATCTTCTTTTTTGTTTCCGTCATTTTTTCAACATTGTTTTTTTCAGCAACATATTGTACAGTCGTATGGTGGTCGCTTTATAGAACTGCTAGTTGGATCTACTCAAGGTGGCTTATTGGCTCTAGCAGACAATGCTAGAGATCAGGGTCGCCTTCTTTATAGAATATTTGCCTTGCTTAATGTAGTAATGGCTAGTCAAGCAGCAGCAGAGATGTTCGTGCGTTGTGGCGGGCTTCAGGTCTACTTACGCTCTTCCTCCATTGCATCTCGTTCAAGCTTATCTCTTTTTACCCTAACATCTTTAGAAGGTGTGTGAACGCCTGTTCCAGTCGACGGACGTCCTGCGAGAAGGTATTCATCTCGTTGCTTTGGCTAGTGATGTAAAAGCAGTCGATGATCAAGATTTGAGAATTGCTATCCGACAGGTCAGTTAGAGTTATTTGAACCTAGAGGTGAGATAGAGGGGAATAGTGTTTGTTGACCTACTATCCCGGTAGTATTTGACTCAGTTTTCCACCTATAAATTTGGTTTCGGAACTTCTCTTCATGTATTTTCAAACAATATGTTATTATTCTTATTTTATCGAGTGTATCTTGCATTGCTGGTTTCTTGCTTCAGGTGTTAGATATTTTATGTCGTTCAAATGACCGCGATCTGTTTGTGCGGAGGTACAGCTCTGGTTTCTTAGTAAATATTATGGCCAATCGACCTGTGAATAAGGTATATAACTTTCAATGTTTATTGTTTAATTGACAGTACTCTTTTTTCAAACTACTTTGCCTTGCTTTGCAGAGACTGCTCATAGAATGTGGCGCTTTTGAAATTTTTTCAAGGCTCTGTTTTCAATACTCGAAGTAAGTTTATTCTTTGTCGGTGTTATTAGTGTAGTTGAAATAATGTCAGGCGCGTATTGTTTCTAGTCTGGAACAGTGGGGTCAAACAAAAGAAACGAAAGGCATGATTGAGGAATTGGTTGACAACATCTTGTTATCTCTCAACTCTCTTATAATGGAACCTTTGAAGCCAGAGGCAACAAGGGCTCGAGATGTGTGCCTATCACAGGTACCTTGCCTACCCATATTTTCAGATCGGTTGTAATCGTATGATCGTCATACTTTTAGAAGTCATTTCAAACTTGTCTGCTCAGTCTTCTTTCGCATGGGAGCCCCAACATCCGAAATCGAGTCCTGCGTGTAGGAGATCATAATTTGATTCCATATCAGTTAAATTATTTTTTT